AAAAAAATCAAACACGAATTAAAGATAAAGCAAAACTCTGATTTCAACAAACTTACGGTCTAACTGACATGCTAGATGAGACAAACCAATGATATTAATATTAATCCATTCTGAGTCAAATGAAGCCCGAATCAAACAATTAAATCACTTTTACAGGCTCTAAGTGGTTAATTGAAGGTCAAATAAACTCCAAATTTGATGCACTTTAGTCAAATCAAGTGACTCAACAAGAGGAATCCAATTTGCTCTTGATTACTTGATTTTAAGGTCATTAAGGCCATCAAATGATTAAATAATCTTTTATGATTAAGGGAAATCAATGTTCGTCGTTCAATCTAGTAGTTAGTTACTGGCCAACATATAGAATTGTCTTTCCTTTAGAGTCTAAATAAACCATCTTTCTTCACTTGGAGGGGAGAGGAGGAAAATGAGCATAATTCTAGTGTTGTTCTTGACTAAGCTAATGATAATTTTTGGTCTCTATACCTGTCGACCACCATCGACCATTGCTTGTTGATTGCCCTCTACTCGCTGCCATTTGTGAACTTTGCAGAGTAATGTAGTACCCTATAGAGAAATGTAGCACTTTCCCCATGGCGCAACGACACACATTACGAAGTAATGAAGCATACTGTTGAGCTACGAAGCCTCCCATATAAGAAGTAACTAAGAGTTCAAAATATCGTGCAACGATGTACCCGAACTGCACTATATTAAAGATCTAATGATAACTTCTGGTGGTAACTACTCTTGAGTGTTCTATTCATAATACCTCAAATCTTTTTGTACATTATAAATAGATAAATATTGTATTTGGTGTAATTTTGGAGCCCTTTTTCAGTTCTTGGATAAAGGTTTATTTTTGTACTTACAAACTTATAATTAATCATTTTGACTGGGCTAGGCCCAGTGGTATTTCCTCTTTTCAAGTTTTCCACAAAATTTTTTGTTGACTCCTACCAATTTCTTTTGTTATATGTATGTGTGCTGGATTTCATACAATACTGAGACATTAAATTATTACTTTTTTATTATGAATTTTCTGGCACGCAACAGTTTGGCACGGTTTGTTGGAAACAATGTCGTGGTGAAAGAATTCTACATTTCTTCGATGGCTAACAAATGCAATACACAAGTTTTTCGCTCTAACAACCATTATTTCAGAGCTCAATCTTGAAGTGCGCGGAATCAAGTCTTTGATATGTATTTCAAGGAAAAACATAAGCCTGCTGGTGAAAATATCTCTTGTTTGCCCCCCAAAGTCCGCATGTAGAGAATGGCAACATTCTACTTGCATGCTTCTATTGTGGCATCAATAGAGATAAATATCAGAGATACTCAAAATTAGCCTTTAAT